TAGGAGCCGGACCTGCTGCTGGCCACTTCCGGGACGCAGCCCGGTGTCTGAACAGGTAGGGACTAGCCTGCCTTTGCTGGACAGCACCGCCAACGGGACTTTTAACAGCCTGGTTGGCGGTGCTGACCAGAGCCACCGTGACCCAGTGCCTTACATTCCACAACCCAGTACTGGGTCGCGACCCACAGTTTGAAAACCCCTGGGCTAGTCTATAAAGGCCTTGGCGGACCAATCCTTAGGGGGCACTTTTCCACTTGATGAAAGTGTCACAGACTGGTACAATTCAGCAGGGTCTGACCACCTGGGCCTCAGTGTCCCTTTTGGGAGTGAGGGTTAGTGTAGTGAACTGAACTTTACTCCTCTTATGTTGACCTCAAAATGAGTTTCTCAGCTCTTCAGGTGGTTGCTCCCTATCTTATTTCCCTTCCTGCCTCTCTCCACCCAATGTGCACAGGCCTTGGGGGATCTTGCCCTGGTGTATGTAACTGAACTGCTCTGGAAGCAGTCTAAAACCGAAGCACAGTTCGTCACCAGCCTCCCTGATCATATGGCTCAGCCGCTCTGGCTGAGTAACTGTGAGTGATCCCCCTCCAGCCTTTTTTTCTCCCCTCCTCCTTCAGCTTCCTGTTCCTCAGCTGTATAGTGTTTGCTCAAGTCAGGAAGGGGGAGGATGTGGGGGGAAGTTAATCATTAAACTGTACTGTCTGCCACGTAACCGTTCACAAGCAGGGAGTAGAGGGGTTGTGTCCATATTTCCTTTCTATACACCGTGGCTCTCTTTTTGTCAGTGGGCAGCTGGGAAGGTTGTGTTTCTTCTTTACATCACCTGCGCTTGCTCTCCACTCTCTCCCTTCCCCTCCTTGTCCACCCTGTCACATGCACAGACACACGGGACCAAGCAGGTGCATCTAGCTAGTTTCGCTTAGTTTTGTGCTGTGTAGCAAGAGGAAATGGAGTACCTTCTGCTCAGCCTCTCCTTTGAGAGGCAAGTGAGCTGAGAAAGCATTTTTTTGCGAGGAGCTGAAAGTTACGTGTCTGCCCCTTAGAGGGAGAAGAGCAGTAGAATGGGAGGGATAGGAAGGTGTGTCCAGAATGCCTTGCACAGGACTCAGTGCTTTTATTTGCCATGGGTGTGGAGACTCTGAAGGCTTGAGTTTGTGTGGTTTTCTTGCTTCCTGGTGGAGTCTGATTTGCTTTTAGTCATTGGTCCGGAGAAGTGCATGGAGGCAAGAACCACACCTTCCCTGATAGATTGTGCAGGAAACTGTACACAAAACCACAGAGTCCTTGGACCTGCACAGTCAGAGTGGCGGCAGTACTTTCTTGGCTCCTCTGAGGTATGTGTCTGTATAGCTCTGGAATCCACCCGCTGTTCTGTTGCTTAAAAAAGGTTGGACTGACTTTTCCCCAGCTGTGAAAAGCCCTTGGGGAATCTGTTCCTGGGATATTTTGGCCACCATAAGATGACGACTGTGGTTTAAATGACTTGGAGTATCTTTTGGTGAGACTAAAGTCATGGCATTAATTTAACATACCTCCTCTGCTGGGGCCCTCTATTCTGCCCTGCCATAGGGATGGGCTCTGATTTAAGAGGTCTTTCTCCATGGTAACACCTTGGCCCATGGAGGAAGATGCCCTTGGGAGAACAGGAAAGCCTCTCCTTCCTTCCTTTGTGTAGTGTAACAACTTCTGTCGCCCATTTGACCTTTGAATACAGTTTGGGTTATTGAATATGTTGGTCTTGTATGAGCTGCTCAGCTTGCGAAGGGGTTTTGAGGAGACAGCCAGTAGGCTGCCATCAGAGACTGTGTGATGCCAGCTGGGGTTTGGGAACTGTGCTTTGCTTTGGAAAGCCCAGATGTCTGTGATGCCTAGCAATGGGAGAGATTTTCCCTCTGGGTTCTGAAGGAGCTGCAGTTGTGGTGGAGGGGATGGAGATCCAGAGCAGTTAAAGGGGCTTCTGGAGAAGCAGCTTAATCTCCTAGTCCTACGTAAGATGCATTACTTTACTGGACTCTAGCAGCGTTCTGTGTCTCTGAACTGTCCTGCCTGGTACATCTTGATGCTCTGGTAATGGAGAATGCCTGTGTCCCTTGTGGACCAGCTCCTCTCTTCTCTACTAGCCTTAAGTAGGTGTGCGTTGGAGTCCATTGCTCCTCTGTAAGGCTGGGCACCCAGCCAGTGAGGCTTTCTTTAGAAAGCAAGTACAGTACAGACCTGCAATGCTTCACTGGAGTTTCCGCCATTGGGGATTGCAGAAGGTGCCTTGGGGTGGGATCACAGGCCCAGCAAGCTGGGATTTGGCTGTGAGTCACTGCAAAGGGTGCTTGCTGTGCTTGGACTGGGCAAGGAGCAAAGTTTGCGGGAAGAAAGCCAAAATGGTGGGTACCCTTTTTCTTGCCCCATCTCAGAGGTTGAAGTGACTCTTCTGATTGCAGAGAGAGTCTTACCCATTATGTGTTTCCCTCTGCCTGACCTGCTAGTGTGTACGTTTTTAGCTTTATGGAGGTTTTTTCTTCCCTTCAAAAATGTGTAAGCAGCCTCCACCCAGCAAGTTAAGAACTGTTTCCAGGCGATGAAATTGCATTTACCTGGCAGGCGCCATCCAGTTAACCGTTGGTGTGGCTTGCTGTGTGCTGAGGAGGAATCTTGTTCCTCTGGGAGGCAAGTGCTAGCTTGCTGCACTGATAGACCGATTGAAACTTTTTGAAAACTGATTGAAAAGGTCTCTTTTGTGCCGGTTCAGGCTCGTTTGATTCCAGAGAAAATCCTTTCCGGGGAACTCGTTTCCTGGAGAAAGTGGCATTCACGGCCATGTTTTAATGATATGGGGCTTGTAATTAGTCTGTGTCAATATCTGACGTAGATCTGTCCGAGTTCTTCTACTGCAAAGCACAATGAGACCAAAAGCTCCTTGCTGCTGGGCTGTTCCCCAGTTTAGCACAAAATCCCAGATTGGGATTTCTTCCGGCTACTTTGGTGCCTCTTGAAGTTTCCTTTTATAACAGAGGTTTTACTGACCCACTTGCCCTGTCCAGTACAGTTTTGCAGGATGTGCAGTAGATCATCCATAGGGGCTGTAAATGTGACACCATCTGAATGAGGGGAAGAGGAATTAACTGGTGGTCTGCCTAGCCAAGACAAAAAGACCCTTTGTGTTTTTTCTCTGCAGATGCTTTACTAGCGGACCTGGAGTCTACCACCTCTCACATCTCCAAACGGCCTGTGTTCTTGTCGGAGGAAACACCCTATTCCTATCCAACTGGAAACCATACATACCAGGAGATCCCAGTGCCCCCACCTGTGCCACCCCCTCCTTCCAGCGAAGCCCTGAATGGGACTGTGATTGACCCTTTAGACCAGTGGCAACCCAGTGTCTCTCGATACATCCACCAGCAAGTAAGTGTGCGATGCTAGGGGGAAGCGAAGAGGTCTGTGCATGTCTTCTGATCTGATGTAGAGCGTATCTAGGGTGCAGGAGATGAGGTGAGGGAGGGAGAGGATTGTGGGAAGTAAGGAGGCGTTTGGGTAATCAGCAGGCTGGCATGTGGTGAGGAAATGGGGGAAGTTTCCCAACAAGATGGAGTGATTGGGGGAAGGGAGAGTCTAGGCACCCACTTCTGTCTGGTTTAGTGATAAAATACCAGTTGAAGACCCATCATCAATGTTCCAGTGAAAACCACAGTACAAAAGACTAGTATTAATCATCCACCTTGCAGCCTATGGAAAGGAGACTGGGAAGTTTCCAACTCAGAGGCAAAATTCCTAGGTGAGCTAGAGGGAGCGTGAGACATGTTGCTGGGCTAGCTTGTGCAATAGGGGTTGAGGCTGATCTGCAGCTGTTTGTTGTCAAGATTTGACCTGTTAACTTCACTGAAGTGTACGCGTGTGTTCAATGTTCTCAGTCTCCAATACAAATCTCATTTCCTCAGTCCCAGTCTCCTGTCTACAGCTCCAGTGCCAAAAGTGCCAGTGCCTCCGTTCCCCGAGAGAGTGTCTGCTCTTCTTCCTCACGTGCCAGTGAAGAGGAGCACGTCTACAGGTATCCTGCCCCTCCTAGGGAGATGAGAAGCCTGAATTGTGGTGGGGGTGCTGTGGGCAGTAAGCGCTGTGACTCTGCTTCCAGTTATAGGAGGCGGGACAGATACTGACCCCTCCCCCCCCAAATCCTGTTTCGGTTTTACTGCTCAGGGCTCTCTAGAGTTCTGAGAACTCCTTTTCCATGGAGGTCATTGTTAATTTAGCCTTGTGGAAATGACTTTGAGATGGGAAAGCTGGTTTAATCCCTCCATAGGCAGGGTAGGAGGCAACATGAGCCAGTGAATAGGGCACCAGAGAATCAGAAAAAAATGGCTTTTGTTTCCAACTCTGCCCGTGACTTTCTGTCTGATCTTGGATAAGTCACTTAACCTTCTGTC